TCCCCCCTACCTCCCACCGGCCGACGGGGCGGCCGTAGCCGGAGCGATTCTGTGCGGTGGTTCATCGGGGACGACGAAGGTGATGAAGAGAATCCATGCCCTAAAATTGGGGCAAAAGCTGTGAGAGAAGGAGTCGAATTCTACAGCAACGGGGATTTCTACGAAGGGGAGTTTCACAAAGGAAAGTGCAGTGGAAGCGGAGTTTACAATTTCTTCGGGCAGGGAAGATATGAAGGCGATTGGGTTGATGGGAAGTACGACGGATATGGAATCGAGCGGTGGGCGAGAGGGAGTCGGTATCGGGGCCAGTATCGCAACGGTCTCCGCCATGGATTTGGGGTTTATAGGTTTTATAATGGCGATAGCTATGCGGGCGAGTGGGTCGGCGGGCAGAGCCATGGACGAGGAGTTCAGAGCTGTTCTGATGGTAGCTGTTATGTGGGGGAGTTCATGTGCGGTGTGAAGCATGGATTAGGGTTTTACCATTTCAGGTATGAAGATGATGTTTCCATCTTATGCTTACTAAAGTTTACGATTTTGCTTGAATCTTTATCTTTTGGATTGAATTTTAGTCTGTGTTCTATTGATTGAATCTTTGGTTTTTGTGAGTTGAGTATTGATTTAGATCATTCTTACTGTTTGATTGGATTCCTGGAATTGAGGCGTTTAAGAAATCAAGTGGTAGATTATAAGAGGATTTGTATACACGCCACTTAATTCTATGTATTTATATATCTAACACCACATATGCTCTTTACATATACATGAAAAAGGTGTATTTCACTTTTCAAAGGTTAAAGTAGTGGTACTTTTGATGTGATATGATTGTAAGGATTAGTATAAATGTAAAAGGTAAAGTTAAATAGATGGGAATTGATTGGTATGTTTGTAAATGTATAAGAATGGGGTGGTATGCATGTAAATCTTCCTCTAATATATCTGGTAAAACTAGATGTAAATTGATGAAGATTGAAACTTAAATCCTGCAAATTTTGATAAATTGTTTGTCTGTGTGTTCAAATATTTAGGATTTGTGAGAGGAATAAATTCTTTAGTGCTTTAAAACTTGTAAATGTTGTGGTGTAACAAATTCTTTAGTACTTTATCAAAGTAATAGGATTTGAAGTCCAGAAATCTCTGCTAAATATCTGCCTAAAATCAGATACAAACACTTCTTAAGTAATCCATCTTTTTAATTCATTTTGATCATGAAAAAAGATATTTTTGGGATAATTTCATTGCAAAAACACTTTTTTTTTTAAAATCAGAAATGGAGATAAATATGCGGGCGAGTACTTTGGTGACAAAATTCATGGTTTTGGAGTTTATCACTTCGCGAATGGCCATTGCTATGAGGGTTCATGGCACGAAGGAAGGAGGCAAGGCTTTGGGACATATACATTTAGAAGAGGAGAAGCGAGATCCGGAGAATGGAATTGTGGAACTCTTAAGAACCCTCTCCCGCTCATGGACCCCAATGTTCAACGCGCCATTCAGGTATATAAATCGACTCCTTTTGTCACTTATGGCGTGTTTTCTTTTTTTTGTATTAGGCATGTTTGTTGTGAAGTAAACTAAATGCAAAGTATTTTTCCAAGGATTTATGATACCTCCAAGTTCTCATTTTTTTGGATGGATAGTGCTTAAATAGACTCATTTGTCGGGTATAAGATGTTTTTGTTTGTCGTGTTAGGCTCGTAAAATAGAAGGAATACATGAGTTTTTGGTTTGGAAGATTTGCGTATGCACCGCTCAATTCTTAAAGTTGTCTTAGATATATAAATACATAAGAATTGGGTGGTACCTATGCAAGTGCTCCTTTTAAATGCAATGTTTTTTTCCAAGTAAGTTATGATACCCCAAAATTCTCAGTTTTTGAAGGATTTAACATTTTCTTGTGAGAAATGCGAAGCAAAACAAATGAAACGATTTAAGGAATTTAGAGTAACCCCAAAAGTTCACTTTCGAATTTCTAACAAGCTGAAAATCCAATTCAAAAGTTACATTTTTATCTGAAGTGACTTATATATGTAAAAATTAAATATATAATAAATACATAGAGATTGATTGGTATGTATGTAACTCTTTCTATCACCCAAATTTTGAGCTTGCTTTAAAAATTTATCTTTTGGATTGGATTTAAGCTTTTTAGGATTTATATATATGCCACCCAATTCTTATATATTTACATATCTAACACAGATACTTTGTTTTTTTACATTTATACCATCCAAATCTTTCATATCACATCTAAAGCGCCGCTTACTTTAACTTTAAACAGCGAAATATTCTGTGTCAATTACATATGTAAAAATTGAAGTTTAGGTATTAGATATGTAAATACATAAGATTTGAGTACTATGTATATGTAAAACCTTCCATATTTAAATTTTTCAACACACCCCAAAATCATAGGCTCATTTCACATTTCACAATCAACCAAACACTGAAAGGAAATAATTTCCACAATTTATTTTGCAACACAACAAATAATTTCAGGAAAATCAGAACACACTGTTTAATTCAACGCCTGAATCCCAAACTCTCACTTAATCTCTAACATCTTCAAAATTCTCGACGCAGTCCGCCAGAAAAGCTTCGGAGAAATCACTTCTGCTACCGCGCGTTGAAGAGCAGGTGAACAAAGCAGTTAGCGCAGCAAATAGAGCCGCCACCACGGCCAGAGTAGCCGCCATTAAAGCTGTGGAGAACCGAATGAACGGGAAGTTCTGCAACACAGAAGTCTGAAGTGAAGAACAGAATAATGAGAGTAATCTCTTCCATCTTCTAACTGTGCATATTTTAGCTTATTTTTTCTCTTCTCAATATTTTCAGTGTCTGTGATCAATCTGATCACTGTGAGTTTGAAGGCTTTAAGAAGGATGAGATTATTAAAATCCTCCTTTTCACACCAAGCTGTACATAAATCCACATTTGTGTCTTTTGAATCATAGTTTTCTTCCTAACCTCAAAGAAATGTTGTTGTGTAGAGCCTGTGGCATATATTCACTTTAATAGCTAGTTCACCCGAACTCGGGCTGCTCACGAGTATAGCGAGCTTATAAAAATTAGTTGAATTCGAACATATTGTTCACGGGTAATTTTGAACACGAGCCGATTTAGAATCAACAGAACATGAGCCAAGTCTAAGCTTGCACAAGCCCTGCTCATTTATATCCCTCGTGCGAAGTAGGTATGTTGACTTCTTGTTCTCTTTTGTTATTGTTTAATTTTATTTTATATTCATAAGCAAGAAAATTTCTTCAAACATTGATTTGTGACATGGCCCTTAATTATTTATAATCAAAGCATTCCAAGCATGCATCTTTTGAATGCTTTTTAAAATAATAGTCTCTGCTGCCATTTTTCCTCTAGGAAAGTCACCATCAAGATCCAACTACTCCCACCTGCATTCTTTTTCAATTTAGTCTTTAAGAAGTAATAATTTTTAGAAAATAGGCTGAATGCTTTTTTTTTTTCTTTGCTTTCGTTCCAATAAATAGTAGTTTGTACAATCTATTTTAGCTAGACTAATAATACATAATAATTTGTGCAATCAATTTTAGGTAACTTAATAATACGTATTCCTAATCTAAATATTCAGCTATAAGGAGAGAATATGTACAATTAAAATAAGGAATTTAATTCAGTAATTTAAAGAAGGAAACTCTTAATCCTGCCCGATTTTAGTTATTCTTGATTGTTAAGTAATTGATTATTGCAGTTTCATCCCCTCTGACCATAGGGCTATCTTGGTCTCTATGTTTCTATTCTTTTGCCAATTGTTTTGGCTTATAACAATGCTATATTTAATTTGTTGTCATATCTGTAATTTAGTGTGGCCTCTAATCATATATAACCTTTTTTGATACTCATATTCTTAATATATTTTATTAGACTTAAAATTAGGTATATATTAGACTTAAAATTAGGTGGCTAGTGTTGAATCCTAATATGTTTGTGAATCAAGATAGGAAAGGAGAAATTGATTGAGAGATGAAGACAAATAGTAGAGTGCATAATAATGAACTGTAAATTGTTTTTTCTGTTTCATAAAATGATATCTTATTTACAGGGAAGATGGAATGATATGTGAAGCTAAATGTTTGTCCCTGCTTTAATGGGGGTGTTAAAAGATATTTTAGGTAATTTATATGAATGAGTCTATCTCAGTTACGTTCTGGCTTAGTCGGCTGAGTTCGGTGGGCCTTGGTTCGGTAAGACATGTTCGGTCTGCTATGTTTAGTTAAGGTTGCTGGTCGGCCGTTGATGGACTTTGGGTTGCCAGGATTGACTTGATTTGCTAAGCTTTGTTGATCGGTTGATTTAGTTTGGCTGTTGATCTTTGATTCTTGGTGAGGACCTTCTGTCGGCTAAGTGATGCTAGGTTATCAAGCATAGGGTGAATCACTACAGCTTGATAGGTCGCTCACTGCCTAACTTGGAGTGTCGGAGGGATGACTTATACTTTTTGTGACATGGTTGCCTCTCGATCCCTCATAAGGAATCTCTGGGCGTCCGTGGGATGAGTGCTGGTATTGAGGACTTGAGTCAATTCTCGTGTTTGGTCTACATAAAAGCTTGTTTGCCGACTGCGATAAGCTTTCTTATGATTGGCTAGCCTGCATGTCTATCTATCTTATCTTGGTCCCATTGGTTTGGGTTCATACCACTCATCATCTTTAGTCTTGTTGACTCTGTCTCGGATGCTGCATCCGGTTGATTTTGACCTTGGCTTTGGTTCAAAATGTTACGCCTGATTATATACGTGGGCCTCATAGTCATGCCAACTGACCCTCCTTAGTTGTATTTTCTACCTTCCGACCGTTGTATCTCCTCGAGATTCATGTCAGTGCATTCCATGTACAGTTAGAATGAAAAATTGATATAATAATATCATAAGAATTTGGATGCTAATTTTCTATAACTTTAATTAGGTAAGCTATTTTTTCCCTAAGGTGAGTGACTGAACCAATTAGATGGGCTTCTATAAATTTTTTTTAGAAACATGTCACAAAATCAAATATATATGGAGAAAATTCATGTAAAAGAAAGGGCATTTACACACCAACCACCCAATTCCAATATAGGTAAAATGGCATATATGTTAAAATTGAAGTTTAGGTGTTAGATATGTAAATTTTTAAGAATCGAGTGGTATGCATGTAAATCTTTCTTTAAATAATTTATTAAAATAAAAGTTAACGTTTCTTGCAGTATTCACTAGGGGTGTAAACAAGCCCAAGCTCAGCTCGTGTTCGGCTCGTTTATATTTCGAGCTGAAAAAAGTGTGTTCGTGTTCGGCTCGTTAGCTTAGCGAGCAAGCCGAACACGAGCCGTACACGAACAAAGAGTCATTTTGACAACCCTAATCACGTAACCATAAGATGTTAATGATTGGGGTAAGATTTAAAACATCATTTGAATCTAATTTAATAATTTTTATTTTATTTTCTTCATTAATACTTTTAATTGATTATAAATCTTTGTAGTCCTGTAGTCAATTAAATTTTTAAAGAAGATATATATATATAATTGCTTAGTAGTATGTCGAGCCAAAACCAGCCGAACACGAACGAACAAATATTTATTCGTGTTGATCGTGTTCGACTTGTTAACTTAGCGAACGAGCCTAACATGAGCTTCTTAACAAGCCTGTGTTGATTTTTACCTTTTAGTCCGGTTGCTCAGCTAACTTATTTGAAAGTTTCAAAGCATTTATTATGTTCTCTCCAATATATTTAAGTAAGATTTACATACATACCACTTAATTTCTATGTATTTATATAAAAACCCCATGTTTCAACTTTTACATTTTAATTTTTTTTAAATGGTTTTTCTCTTTGATATTGTTGTGTTAGACAATTTGCACGGAAAAAAAGATAATTTAACGTCTTCGCGTTACACAAAGATCATAAGAGACGAAGTTTTTTTTTACATGGAAAAACTCTAAGACGTAATTTTTTACATGTGAGGTAATCACGAGATAATCAAGAGTACAATAGTTCTCTCTTCACATTGATTAGAGAAGATGTG